AGCAACAGGCCAGATACACGTCCGCCAAAACGGGGGAACCGATTTTCTAATCCCAGGCACCCTGACCTGCAACATTGGGTCCACACAAACGCTGCAGTTATCAATTACTGACGTAGCAACGTATCCATCCCATCTCCGCCCTTCCATGCGAAAAAGCGTAACTGGGCATTTCGAAGTTGCGTTCATGCGAAACGTGAACTGACTGTAAGCAGACAGCTCCCGGTACGTTCCCAACCGAGCCCCGTCCAGCGAAAGTCCCAAAATTTGTCCACAGCAAGCACCCAGACAGGAACACAGCAGTAACACATCTGTCTCAAAAGAGCACCGCACAAAGAAAGCATCGACGTGAGAAGAAATACGCGCTCCCACGAGCAAACTCGATCTCGACCACGGCGCCTATGCACAGAGAATGAACGGCTCTGCAAGCGACGCTGCCCAGGCAGATCATAACAACGTGAGGGGGCATGAGAACGACACTGTTTTCGTGTTGCGGAGCCGGCGTCTCCCAGCAATAAATCTCTTGCAGCAGGCGAGATCCACGGACAAACGCACCCGCATCTCGGCCGATGACGAATTTACGAACAAGCATTTGCTGGGGGATGCGGGGCAAATTTGGGGCTTGGGTGGGTGCGCGGAGAATCAACAGACGTTCTTGGTAACTAGTTCACTGTGAGAGACTGCAAGCAACGCACAGGGGTATTTATCGTGGAGGGATACGTTCGCGTGCTCGCTCGTAAAATCGGTTGTGAAGCCCCTACTCAACATCAGTGGATCGTCAGAAGCTTTCGTGAGGAGTGGACAGACGCAGTGCAGATCCAAGAATTAGCACGACCTCGAGCGTTAATAACACATTAACGCTTCATCCTAAGGTGAAGTGAACAGGGAACTCATTCAGTGCAGAGGTTATTCAAACCTGGACGTAACGTAGCAGCCAGTATTTGCCCGACCTGACAAGCACGCAATGATTCATTTCGTAATGAAATTGATTACATTCTTCCAGACAGTCAGAGTAGTCATTTCCATCCGCTCCGATCGCCCTTCAAGAGCGTAAATCAGGAGCAGTTTTAAAAGAGGGAGGAAAGCTCACGAGCAGAAAAACACACACTGTTTTTTAGCATACTGCCGAACGCGAAAACGGTGAGATTTCCGACTGAGATGAGTTGATCGCAGTCTTCTCCTTGAACATTTCCGTGAATGTAAATTTGACTCCGCTTAAAACGTCAAGAAATATTAGAAACTGTTCCGTAAAGGAAAAACATCTGGTCCGCGAAATTGATAAAGAGTAATGTTCCAGGTTACCGCTATAAAGCAAATGCAAGAAAATGTGCAAGAAAATGAAGGAACGGAGTTCTTGAAAGAAACTGAAAGAAGAGCGGGATAAAAATCAGCTCAAATACGGAACATGGCGAGAAGCGCAGTTCGGTGAAAACATTTCACTGACTTTTGTAAACGAAGGTGAAAGCTGAAGAAGAAATCGAAAGTGTATTGGATTTGCAGAAATTTCTACGTGGAACTGTTTTCAGCGTGTTGTACCCGTCGACAATTTCAGTTTTACTGTCCCTCTGTACATATCCTAGCCTGTAGCGAAATCGGAGCCACAGTATGCAGCACGAAGCCGAGGATGCACGATTCGATTGGATGAACACAGCGATTGCTGCAGAAGGCAACTAGACTATAGCAGCACCCGGTTATTTTGGTACCACGAATCAGGAGTGATGCAAAGCAAAATTAGATCCGAAACGCTGCTGATGCCTAAACACATGCAGTTTCGAGGAAGTTTGATGCTATTTTTGCTGACGTATATTTTGGGCAAAATTTCGATCCCACTAATTTAAGCAATTTGGATGAAAGCAATTTTCGACGGAAATCTGCGAATAGAACGAAAAAGACTGGAAAAGCGTGCTCGTAACATCGCACACCTTTGTCGTTGCAGCATTGAACGATGTGCAGAATGCCAGGCATGCTTGTATTTGCTCTCTGTCACTTGTATTTCGTGCGACATTTCAGCCTGTTGCAGGCAGTGAGTCTGATTCAATTTACATGAGGATTTTCGAAAACTGCCTTGGGGACGAATTATTGACCACAGCCTCTTTGAAGGTGGTCTTCTTACAAGAAGTTACAGATGCATGAAAAAAGAAAACATTTATTTTCTAAAAACTCTGTACTGAGATACAGTTGTGGGGATACTGACATAGCGCAGATGCTCATTTTTCGGATAGCATTGCACTTATCAGGAAGGAGCTAAAACTGTTTCTAGTTCTGCTGAATGTGCTCGTGACTTGTACGAATGCACTGAAATTAACAGCAGAAAGACGAAGTACTTGAAGAACATATACTTCCTTTAATGATGTTATGCAAGGCTGGTAGAAAGCTCAGAATACTTGGTGCAAATAGTACAGAAGAAGGCTTTGATCAAGAAGCAATGTAACAAGGAGAATCGCAGAATGAGACGGAACTCGTCAAATTTGGGATGCATTTTCCTTCATTGAGCAGAATAACATTAAGCGGTGCTAGTGAAAGTTGCACTCTTCGCTACCAGTGCCTTCTCTAGTATAAATATGGAGCATCGAGTACCGCGTTTGCTGGGAGGAGAGCGAGTTGCGGATAATTCTGCGAACGGCATGGCACAACGTATGATGATGGGTTTTAGCAATTTGCATGTCTAATAAACCTCAGCGACGATCACTCACTCCCAACAACCATCTCCAATGGGAAGGATGCGCCACGCTGCATATTACAGTGCGGAACTTAGCCCGCCAGATAGACCACAATGTCAGAACTGTAGTGTCTGATGGCACAATTGCTCTCGCTAAAACAGTCGGGGAGTCTGCTAGCATCTTTGGGATTCGTAACTGTAGCCCACTTATTTTAAAAGTATTTTCGTTTATTGTCAAAATTTAGATAACGGCTATGTGCTTTTCAGATTTTTAAAAGACTTAAAGCTCTGATGGAGCAACAGGCTCTCCCCACTCAGTGTTGCATCTGAAGTGCAGAGGTGCATGTGGGATTATTATCCGGGAAGGACTCGCTCACATTCTGAAACAGTCAGCCTCCGTTACAGTAAGCTTCTGCGCAGAGAGGCGGGCAGTAGCAGAGTAACGAGGAAACGCATCAGAAAGCTGCCTCTTCTCAGCTGGCTGCTACAGGAAACGGTAGGTCTTCTGTAATCTGCTGCGGATTGTTCGAAATTGGTGGTCACCGGTGAGGTCAAAACTGGCCAAATTTGCATGTGCAGAGACCAGACCGGAGCGGTGCCAGTGCGAGAAGTGAGGTTCGTACTGATCGATCGCAGACGGATGAGGACGGGGAGGGGCTGGTTGGATCAGCGTGCTACTACTACTACT